AATCCACTCTTCCATCATTTGCATATATATTGCCATTTTTCGTACATATTGACTGGACTATATCTGTCACTTCGGATTAGCGACTGTCGCGTGATGCGCAGTATTCTCATATACTCGCTTCGCTTATATATCATATAAAGATTTAGGGAAGAAAAGGACAATTTGAGCGGAGTAGCGTAACACGATTGAGCGTAAGGTGTGCTAACCAATTCAGTCTTGCCTCCACGCATATTGGAACATTTACCTAATTGTATCAGGAAATTTATATATTAATCAACCGGCGCGTGCCGCCCGGGAGGTGATGCCCCCGCGTAAGCGCGGCGCTACAAAGAGTTAATGCAGGTACGCAGGCGAATCGTACGGCGCGATAATAATGGGTGCGAGAGAGATAGAAACTTCAGGGGCGAAAATTTTAAAGAAAAATCGCATCGGACGTAACATCACTAATGCGGATTTATTTTGAATGGGAATATACTGTGTATATATAAGCATTCGTGTATCCGTTTTTAGTAGGCTGAACATGTGCTTTTGAAATCATAATTCCTCATAAAGACGGATACATTTTGTATTCGCGTGTATTCGCAAATGCGGATATATTTTGAATGGGAATATACTGCATAGGGTAAACCCGGTATATACGCCGCACCTATCAAAAACTTAATTTATCAATTATTATTTAATATGTTTAAAACAAATTAATTATACCAATAAAAACTTTGTATCATCTACTACTATAAAAAAAATATTAGAAATCCAAAATAATTTATTTTCCATATTAAAAAATAACTCTTTTAAACCCCTGCATTTTTGCCATTTATCCCATAGGGGGGGGTTATATGGCCACTCATGGATGGGATATATGAGTTTTAAGAAAAGCACAAATATTCTATAAATAAGATGTAAAATGACGACGTAACTTGCATTTGTTTATTAATACATGACAATTTTTATTGTTCAGAATGAAAATTGGAATACAAATAGGACTTAATAAAATTTTTTTAAATAGCTTCAAATCTTTGAAAATAATCTTTAAACGTTTAAGATTTATCAACATTTATGCATTAATGCAAAATATAATTGTTAGAGAGAATTAACAAAAACTTCTTAAATAGAGCGTCTGTGCTGCGGCACAGCATCCCGCTCGCTAAAAATGCCGTATATCCCAAATAGATGGGATATATATGACAACTAATTAAACAAATAATATAGGAGCAAAGCACTTGTATTTTGTTATACAACATGCTTTACTATTCCTCTACACATATGTATTGCAAAATAACCACTAAGTCTTTTACACGCTCTACAATAATCATTTTATGTAGATTATAAATTATGATGGCACTACTTATTACAGTAAAAAATCGATTTAACTCGCAATAATTTCATTAATATTAACAGTAAAAAACTGAAAACATAATATAATACTAATATACCATAAAGGCATGTAACAAAGTAATTGACGGAAAATTATCCCCACTCCTTCTATTTTTTCTGACTTCTGCGGCGTATTTCCTGACGCGGCGTATATACCGGGTTTACCCTACTCTATCTAAACGAAAATTTAATATTTGTATTTTTTATAAAAATTATAATAGTTTTTCAAATATATAGAATGTTCGGAAATTCAACCGACAAACTTTCAGAGATTGTTAGAGGCACCAAAAGGATCATTTTTTGCAAATGGATTTAGGATTGGAAGCGTGCCGTTTTATCGCTACATAAAAATTTATAGTAATAATGCATAAAATTAATGAGGCTTACTTGAAAAATGATGGCTTCACGCTCGATTTGCGACATATTCTTGAAGATAGTATTGATGATGTTGAGAAATTTATCTCGCTCCAAAAAACTGGCTTGATCTTTCTCGAAGAAGTCAATGAAATCGTACAGAATAAAATATGTTCCTGAAACAGAAATATATGCATGCTAAACGCAATGATAGGAAATACTACTTATTATACATTATAAAAACTATTTAAAAATGTATAAAAACACAGCAGAAAAGTTACAATTTTTAAATAGCATACAAATGCATAGCATCTTGATTTTTAAATTCAATTAATTTTATAAATTTGCACGACACGAATATTCGCTTCATTATACGTAAAGACAGAGATCATTAAATATATTTAAAAAGTATATTTTAAAAAAACATACAGCACATAGGGGGGAGCTTCGTTTACGAACAAAACGATTACTTATACAGCTTCGTTTGCACACACGACAATATTGCACATTGCTCATAAGACAATAGGAAGTTTTTGCTGTGTATTCAGATATACGATAAACGCTAAAGTCACATTATTTAGTGAAAAGTCGAACTGTTTGCGTGTGCAATTTGACTTTTTACTAAATAACATGACTTTAGTATTCACCGCATATTTGAATATCTCTCTATTATCCTGTGTGCAATATGCTGTGTGGCAATATTGTCGTGCAATACACTGTGTGCAATATATCTGTGTATAAACGAAGCTGTAAGCAATCGTTTTGTAGGTAAATGGTATCCTCCCCAGCACTTAGCGCTGTTTGCACTTAACAATATGTCTATGTTTGTAAGTATTATGTTATGCTAGTATCATACCGTATTTAACAACTACTTATCCACTGCATTACATCACATGCTAATAGAGTAATAATAAAGATAAATATTCCTAATTTCATGCTCATACGGCACAGCAAAAATACGAATATTCGTAACACAATATTTATGGAATATTTGGCAAATAAAAAATGCTATGGAAAAATGATTTTATAATTGTAATAAAACGTTACACATACGCACACTCACACACACATACCATATAAGGATTTGACATAAAAACTCGTTAATTAAAAAAAAATACTAAAATTCCTAAGAATAGTATACTAAAAGAATACATTGATCAATATGCTGATATCGAAAAATTTAAATTCACGATAGATCGAAAATATCATAAATTTTTCGTTAGAAACTTTTTCACGTTTCAATGTTAGTCGCTAAAAAAATGTATGTCGAGTTCGAACCAAATTGTTTCACTTGTAATTAATTAATATTTAATTAGTTCCTAATTTTTGCAAATTAATTTTTAAACATATAGAGAAAATATTTATATAAACATACATATCCTTTGTTTTAACTCATTTAAACCTCGCGTACATTGTAATTCTATCAACATCATCTGAGATTTCATGTGCATACGTAATCATATATAGACAAAATTAAAAAAAATTAATTGTTTAATAATTATTTATCGAGATGCATAAATATTTTTTAATATACTTTTAATAAAATGAGATCTGAAGAGATTAAGATGTTCTACAACATAAAATTCGTTAAAATCAAAAGAAAACACTTTCATCCACTTCGTTATAATTGTACTTAAGTTGTACACAAAAAATTGTGACAATTTAATTTCAGTTTTACAGCTTATGTGCATACGACGCAACTACTAGAAGCTTTATTGCTGATAAAGGTGTCAGAAACACAATTTCAAAATACTTCAATTTGATTTAATGAAAATAGTTGACCACGCGGCGTTATCATGCATTCTTAGTTCTACGGCGTGAAACCCTGGATTTCCGGCTGCTTACACGTGCACAACGTGGAAACTTCATCCCCCTTTTATGGTGAGCGAGAGTGTTGCCTCAGGCATGCCGTCTTTGGGATCACGTACGATACGGAGACTTCAAAGAGAGTGCTCCTCAAAAAGAAAATGTAGTTTTCCAATATAAAGTATTTCCTGTTAGACAATATACGTATGACAACATACATATGACATAAATAGGCTGCCAATCCTAAGGTTTATGTTATATACATTTTCTAAGAATTAAAAAGCATATTGTGGAGTCTAGTTCAAAAATATAACAATTTATATTGCCAAGATTAAATACTATATTATCTACAGGGCTAGGCATGTATTTGAAATACTTTTATTTGAAAAACGATAATTGTAAGACAATTGTATCTTGTGTATTTTGTATATATTTCAGCGGAGCACATAAAAATGTTTTATATTTCATCGAAATATATAAAAGTATTTTGTAGTTGGATTGAATGGAAATATATTTTGTATTTTGTAGTTCAGGATTGAAAGTATTTTGTATTTAAAATACTAAGATATTGACAACTAATATTACTATTTAAATTACGGAGTACATTTTCTCTGTTTTAAATATAAAATACGTAACACTTTCATGTATACCGATCAAATACAAAATACAAAATATATTTTTGTAGTAAAAAATTGTGTTTCAAATACATGCCGTGATTATCTATCATGTAAACACAAATAAAAAATCAATTTCTACAATAAATTATTGATTTAAAACACCCAAGAAATAAATTTGGCATAATCTATATTATATGTGTCTGTGTAAATTGAGATGTAGTATATGTGCGTTGTAAATGTAAATATATGTGCGTATCTTACTTTACTTTTTAAATACAAATTGTTATAACAATCCTAAATATCGTAATCTTTTAATATAATTATTGTAGTAATACTAATAATTAATTTATATTACACGCGTAATTGTAATCCAATGTGCAAACCAGTTTTATTTAATCTTAGAACTTGTCTCTAAAAGTAAAAAAATTTTAATTAAAAAACTTAAGCGCTTCTAAGTTAGGAAACACCACACATTTCTATATGATACGTTCAATATATAATACAAATTTGTTAAAAGAAGTTTAATTTCGTTTTTGACTTCAATAAGTACAGTTTAAATTATAAACTGAGTTATATATAAATTAAATATGGTAGAGAAACAACATTAACTGAAACAAAATATACATATATTCCAAAATCATGACACATTATTGACAAATATTATAGCAAGCGATAATCACTTTGAAAACATCACTTTGAATAATAAATGTAAATATATTATATGTATATGCATATATGAAAGTAGTAAACAAAATAATATTTATAGACATCGAAAATGAATGTGCTACTGAATAAATAAAATAAAATAACGCAATTGATGCGAGAAAGGAAAATCCCCGATCTATCGGCAATAAAATTTCTTCAATGCTTCGTAAATGCGAATTTGATTATAACACACTTGTAAAAGGGTAAAAAGAATTGATATATTATTATGATATAAATAGAACTGGAAATTATTAATTAATACACCGGATGGATGTAAAATTTATGAGTTAAATTACAAATTCTCGGATTCACATACGCGCGTCAACGTTTCAATCCCTTCGAGAGAATTCCCATACTGACTACAGGTGAATAATAGTACATGCACGATATTTTCTAAACTAAATGAACAGGTTGAATTTCGTAGTTTCTCTGCTATATATGTAACAGTACTTATGGGAATTTGCCGACGTACAAACTCGAGTATATTTCTATGCATATGTGTTGAACTTAATTTGAGATTTATATTAGTGCTCCCCTAGTGCGATTTTATTATATAACTGTTCGTGTGTACTTATTGCAACGTGTATTATCACATTTGATTCAATACCAAATCTTCTCCAAAGTACCATTTTATTCCAATTTACTGGAAATCTTGACATGCGACATAAACTGTCAATGGCATCCTGTTCAGTATTATCATATATTTTATTATAGGGATATAACAATTATTATCATTTTAAGGATAAATGGACGAATAAAGAGAAAAATGTACCAACAAAGTCTCTTCTTGGCTTTGTAAGCTCTGAAGTAAAAAAAATTATTCTATTTTATTCTATGAAATTTTTTCAAAGATTCTTAATCAAAGTAGTAGTCATTAATCAAGAATACAAAATACTCTCCTTAAATGTGACAAAAGTTATGTTTAATTATTCTTTTGTTATGTATAAACATGTGTATTATCTTTATGAGGTTTTCATAAAGATTTAATATCTTTTTGCTTAATTTCATTTTAGAATAAATTTATTTTTGTTAAATGATATAATTTTTTATCGCTAAAGTAACTGTAATTGGATATAGAATTAAATTTAAAATATGAAACATATTTTTTCCAAACTATTTCATCTATATATATATTAGATTATTGACAAATAAGTTCATTCGATTTTTTAAGATGGAATAAAACATAATTTTTTAGAAATACAAAATAAAATTTAATTAATTATATGATTTAACAGAGCCAAGTTTTAGCTTTAAGAATCTATTTTTTAAAATTGAGGTACGATGATTTTCAATAAAGTTATAGAGTTCAAGCCAGAACGTTCTTTTATATAACCCGCAAGTAACTCGCAGTAACAAAAAATCGTAGAAATATTTTTTGAAAACGAAATTTGAAGGAAAACTTTATGCTTTCACGTCAGATAGTTAAAAATTTTTACAATTTTTTTGGGAGACGTGACAGGCCTACAAAGTGAAAAGAAAATTTTCCCTTTTTTAACTCGTAGTTTTCTGTATGTAATTACTAAATTCATACAAACTCAAAAAGTATAGTATACAATTTTAAGTTAATAAAATCAAACGAACTTGTTTGCCAATCCAATATGAACAATTATTATAATGTTGGAAATGATAATTGCAAGAATTGACAAAAAATATACACAAGTAATTTTATTTTTCTCATAAATACTATGAAAAATGGAAAAAATTATCACTGCATAATTTTCTTTATAAAACATGTGTGCAAGACGTGCGTAAAATTTATTTCTTAGAGAAGCGCGGGTAGAATCCGGTTTTATATCCAACACAGTCCACGCGTGTTGCAAGCGACGATCTCGCGGACGATGCTGCCCTTTTTCTTTTTTCTCTCTTTTTTTCATGAAACATTGCGCGTGAGTGTTACACGGAGATACTATTTAGTTTACCGGAAACTACTGCAGTAATATTGCATCTGACAACAAAGCTGGAAACCGAGTTGACTCGCCCGAGGTGGTTTTTGTTTCGGACCTTCAGTTTCCAGGTTAATGGACACTTCGAGCGAAAAAGATGTAGAA